ATACTGGAGCCTGGGGTTGTTCCTGCCCAGGATCTTCAGATGTTGTAGTTCCTACACGAAGACAAAAACTGCATGGTAAGAATAAAGAGAACGGAAGACTGTTTTTACTATTTAGGAATATTATAAAAGAATTCTTGGCATATAGGTTCAGCACTTTACTTGCATGAAGTTACAGATCATCTGTGATACATCTACTGGTGTCAATTAACAGATTTCCTACAGCAACAAGCATGTTCCATAAAGCTGAAAAAAAGCAAGTTTACCAAAATCATAATTGCACGATTCGAGTTCTACTACACCACTACCCAGTGGCAGGCACATGGCCATCCCTGTTATTGTACTCCACACGTTTTATTCCCCAGAGTATCATCAGGAGGAAGGCTGTCCATAACATGCCACCCTTTTGTATGTTACACTCACTTTGTAGTATTCCCAGTACTCTGGAATATAACCTTCGGGAATCTCTGCAAGTTCAGCCTCACCTGACAAAGAAAGGAGGGGAGGAATATTTAATTCAAGTCGTTTTGGTTTTTTTTTTAAGTACCTTATATTCTGCTTTTCACATTAGGAAAAGATCATAATTTCACATGGAAAGTAGCTAATCCCTCAATCTGAGCTCTACTCAGAAAAATTGGATCTGTTACTTTTCCAAACACTTCACACTGCATGTGCCTACCTCACAGACATCAAGCCACACAACACAAGGGTGAAATTAGCAGCTATACAGAAGAATTAATTAAGACCAAGTCCACAAAAATGCCCTTTAAAGTACATGAGCTGAAAGCATGGATTTTTCCTAATTTCTCTATTAAATTCTCTATTACAGTAGTAGTTTAAGACACACATTACCAAGCAGAATTTTGGATTTTTTGCTAGATAAGAAGTGACAGTTGCAGTGTGTGCAGCCTTCTTAAAGAGATCTGTAAAGCAAGGTAATACAGACCCCTCACTGGAATACAAACCTGTTCACTAAACCTCACTGATGTTTGAAAGACTGTCAAAAGATGGAATTTTTCCATTTCTAAAAATGTGAAAGCTTTTTAAAAAAAAGCAACAACTAGAGAAAAATAAAAATACTGGAGTCCTGGCTTTTACATCTTCTTAGACAATTTTACTGTAACTGTTAGGCCTATATCGTGGTCTTCCAAAGAGCTAGCCTTAAATGATCTCTTTTTTTCTATCCAGCATGCTTAGTTTCCAATTAATAATTTTGACTGTGTACTTAGTTTAGTCATGACAGAGCACTCACCAATAAAGATGTTGACATATGTTATGAACAGTGCCACTGGTATTCCTGTCAGAAATATATAGAATCTCTGTATAGGGGATAAAAAGAAACAGTATGAGAAACTCAGAAGCTTGACAAAATTTAGATTAGTCTGAAAATGATGTAACAGCCAGTAATTCTTAGATTTGCATTCATAGGTTAGATAGGGATGTTGTATGTAAAGACACACTGCTGCTTAAAATGAGTTAATTAACAAGCTACAATACAGAAACAGCGATGCTGTGTCAGTCCATGAGCCTGTTTAGTTCAGCTTTCACTCTCCCAGAGAGGAGACAATCGGGCTTTCCCCGAGTGCTGCCTCAGTATCTTGTGATGACTGGCTCCAGCATTTAACCGTAGTGAGGCACTAACATCAGTGCAATAGAATCCAACTTAAATACAACCACTGCTGGCTTGGGAACTGGGCAAGACTGATAAAGGAAGCCCGATCACACCAAGGGAGTTGTATCAGGTTGGCTGTCATAACAGGCTTTATCTGAAACCGGGCTTTTTAGGGGTGGAACTCAGGTCAGGCCTCCTAAGTCTCAATCTCCGGATGGTGGTTTAGGTAACTGAAGGCAAACCCTGCAGAACAGTAACAGTAAAAAGGAGGATGGAGTGGAAAGTATTTGTATATGCATATGCTCATTATGCATATATGAACACAGACACATCATTTAAGAATGCTACGACAGCATTAATTCCAGTAGCCATCACAATCTTTGCCATTTAGCTGATCTTGTACCTTTTTACTTCATCTGGCCCTGATTTTTAAAATGTGACAAAAAATTCTTTAGGAGAAAGACTGGAAATTCTTGTTTATGTGAATAGTGCCAATCACATTTTAGATGTTATCACATAAAGAAAATTGTATTTTAGACACTCCTACACCATCTGGAAGGGATGTGTTATACTGAATGTAATACATTTGGTTTTAACTCACCAACAAGTTCAGAAATCGAGTATCATAAAAACTCGTTGCCTTGATAATAAACATCCTCTTCCCATGGTCGCTGCTGTGTCGTACAGGAGCTGAAAATTGAACCAAAATATTAAGTTTTTTTCTCCCTTTGGTGATTGTGCCCAGATAAGGTCAAACATGCATGTGGGAAAAATAAAGCATTATGCAGCAGTGGCCGAGTAGTTACAAGGTGGTTTTCTAGAGGATATCAATGTTCCTAAAAGTCTGCCTGGCTAATTGCCTATTTTGCTAGAATTAGCCTATTTTATTTTTCTAACTTTAGAAGTCGATGTATTTCTACCTGCAAGTCCCAACAAATAAACCATGGAATATCGCTACAGGAGGCCAAGTAAACTCACAGGTTAGTATGCTGGGAAGCTTGGCCTGCTGCCAACTTTGGTCCATTTTCTACCCAAGAAATGCAATTTCTCAGAGGCACAGAGATGCCTGTCGTCCCCCCTCCCGCCGAGGGATCTCCCTGCACCTTCACCGGGCTTCCCACACCTGCTCAGCCTCGGCGGCTCCGCAGCAGCCTCTGGTTACCGCCGCGCAGCCCCGTGTTCCTGCCCAGAGCCAACGCAGGGGAGAAGCGCCCAGAGCCCAGCGACCGCC